CCCACCGACTCCCTTAATTGATTGCTTGACCAGGAAGAAATTAAAAGAGGAGAAGAAGAGAGAAAAGCCTTTAGATCATATTCATTAGTCATTCCTATTACAGCTTTTGTTCTATTCATTGTAAGTGACTAATCTCTTTCTTTTGTATTTTAATTATTTTGATTTCTTTGAATTTTATCTCTCCTAAATCAGCAAAAAATATATATTTTTTGATTTAATAAGCTTTCACAGTGCAAGTTTGAATGTTATATATTTGATAATTCTGAATGATTTGATATGATTTTATTACATTTTAAATGAAGTACTGAATGATATCAGATACATGATATGATGACTCCAGGTGATATACATGATATGATAACTCCACATGATATCTTACTAATCCACGTGATTTGTTGATTAGGAGTTATAAGGAGCTGAAGATTGATTTAGAGTTATAAAGAGTCAAAACTACTTATTCACGTAATTCAAGGGGAGTTATAAGGAGTACATTAATTGAGAGTTATAAGGGGCTACTGATTGGGAGTTATAAGTGCATGAGCAATATACCCTAGAAATACACTTATTGAATATATAAATACTGATACTGATACTACAAACACTATACTGATATTATGACTAATACTAATACTATTTTTTGTTATCAGCATTATTTAATATTATTGATCATAATAATAAGATTGTTACTAGTACTATTATTATTGATTATTACTAATACTATCATTGATAATATAATGTTTTGAGATGTGATGAACTATAAAATGATAAATTGATACATATAATCAGTATAAACATTGATGCATATATTTCTTTATATGATTTTTAACATATTATTCTCTTTATCTTGCATATATTTCAATTATAAAATTTTAGTTACTTGTTGGGCTATATGCTCATTACGTAGTTTTATATGCTTCGAGTAAAAGGTAAAGATCCTATGATATAAGACTCCGTACAAGACAAAAATACAATCATTTTTCTTTTTGTTGTTCATTGGTAAGCTCTAGTTGAATGGTTAAAATAAAATAGTGATGTAATTCTTCCAATATAGATCCTTAAGTGTGACAACCATCACCGACTACCTCACTCTACCCATCATGACCCGACTATAGTCCTCCTGCCATCGTCATTTGACTACGGTCCTATAACTATTATTTTTTTACTATAGTTCTCTGACTAAAGTCACTTAACTATAATCCTCTGATCTCTGTTACTTAATTATGATCCTCCAATCACCAACTATATTCCTCTAATCTCTATCATTTAAACATGATCCTCCAACCATTATCGTTCGATTACAATCCTCCAACCCTCATCTTCCAAGTATGGTCCATTGAATGTCGTTGCTTGATTACAGTCATCCGACAACAACTAGGAAACTATGATCCTCTAACCATTGTCGTATGACTACAATCCTTCAACCACCATTGCTTAACTATAGTCCTCAAACCATTATCATTTGTCCACATCGAAGTTCATTGACTTTGTCAACCTCCATCCCTAACAATATTAATTCACACCTATTAAGAAATTAAGATGGTGATGTTTATGTTGTGCGATTGGATAAGGAAGGTTCCCTTTGTAGTGGTTCTCTTACTTACATTCCTTCTAACTCTCACCACTATCTGAAGGATAGTATATATTTAACTGGATGTTGTCGGCTTTCCCTATATCTATTAGTTGTTCTGCCTTTTCTTGGGTCTTTTTGGTGGTCTCTCTGAGGATATCTTTAAGGCTTCCTATGTTTAGTGTGGTTCGTGCTCTTCTCCTGCTTATTTTAACTTACTACTACATGAAAATCGCATATTACCAGTGGATTTTTTTAGAGGCTTTTCGGTGGTTTATAATAAAATATGCCCGATTATTTTATTAGCAAATTTTTCGTGACTATCTGACTGATTTTCGACAGCCTTTCCGACGAATTTTACTTATTATATTTTAAATAAGAAAATGTGACTGTTTTAACACCTTTTCTCTTCCAACAAACTGGTTGGGGCTTTGAAGTACTTTCATACTCACTTCATTCAAATCTCATAACAGGCGAGCCTCGTTGGAAGGTGAGTATAGACCTCGGGCAGTGCTTGTTGGCAGTCGGGCTAGTGGGCAGGGCATCCGGTAGCTAGGTGGACAGTGTAGGCAGTGCGAGCGGTCACCGCTGGAGGCAGCCAGGGCAATAGGTAGTAGGGCAAGTAGCTTGCAGTGTGGGAGGGCAGTGGGCAGTTTGGGAGGAAGCCAGGGAAGCAGGTAGCCGGGCGAGCAGCGGGCAGGGCAGTTGTGATGCCCCAGATATCAATAGTGAAAGGATTCTTCTGACATTCTGATCGATCTCCATTCCAGTTTCCTTGCTCGGACCTGAAAATTTTAACCACATATAATGAGATTACAAAGCCCAGTAGGTCACCAAAGCCTACAACTGAAATCAAAGCACGATGATGCTATCAATATGCAGGTCAATCAAATCAAGTCAATCAATGGTCAATGAGTCTATGCAATGCGGAAATCCATAGTCAATGAAATCAAGTATGTACAGCGGAAATCCCTCTATTTGTCTCTGTGGTAGACTTTTTTTGTTCTTCTCTTTGCTTGTTTCAGGTGATATCTCTCCCTCATTTACATTATTATCTGTTGCTTTCTTTTGTTTTATGTTATTTTTCTTGGTTGTGACCTTTTCAGATTGGTTAGCTTGGTTAAATAGTTGTCGCGTCTCTAGCATGCCCTTCTGTAAGTGTTGCTTCTATCTTTGGTTCTTCTCCCTCTGCCTGTTTTCCATCTTGTTGGAGCCTTAGTCTTGTGCCTGTGATTATTGGAAAGGATCTCTATATGGTTATTTGAAGCTATGGAGCTCTCTTATGGGTTTCATCTTCTTTGAGCATAATGCCTATATCAGTTGTTGGATGTTTATTCTTTTGCTGTTGTAGAAATTATA